GCAACATGGAGCACATTAACTTTTGATGAATGTGGCAAATAACTTATTTTCATATCACAAAGGAGAAAAACCTCCTATGATTGCCTGCTGATTTATGTCGTCTTTTTTCACCTTCCCCTCTAGATTGGAGGACCTGCGAGTGAAATTAGAGAATGAAGGACTGGTCAATATCTCATATGTGGTTGTCAACCATCAGAGTCCTCATTCCCAAAAGAAATTTCACCTACTACAAGAAAGTGTTTCAGACCATATTGCTGTCTACCAACAAGAAGATCACCAGGCTGATGTCTGGACTACCTTAAATGGAAACAAAGATGATTTTCTCATCTATGACAGGTTTGTGTTTAAAGGCAAAGACTGGAAATTATTTGCATGTGTTTAGGGTAATGATTTGTAGATCTCTGTATTAATTCATTAAAATAATCTCACAACAAAGTCATCAAGCTGTACGTGCACTTTTACTGGGAAATGGAAGCTACAAAAGAAAGTCTGCTTTTGCTTGAGTAAGTCTGGGATAAGTACATACGATCTTTATAGGTAATAATGATGGCTTTTGGGCTGTTGAGTTTGATATCATGGTTATGGTGTTTGTTTTTATTCTCTAACAACTTTGTTATGTCCATATATTTGAAAGAAGAATCAAGCCTGGAAAGCTACCTGAATTCTCATTAGAAAATTTTGACTGAAGATGCTGAAAGTGTCTTATAGCTGAATGAAAAACTTAGAACTGTGGAAAAAATTAGCTTTTTGATAACAGGATTCTGGAACGTGAATCTTTTGGTAGAAACAGTAATGACTGTTTAGTTGGAATCCTGAGTTTTTGTTTTTGAAGTGATGAAAATTATTTGAGAACTTGCAGTTCAAAAAATGCCCATCTTGATTACTATTATGTTACTGTAAAGAGAGTTCTGTCTTTGTACTGAACCATAATGAAACGTAATGAAGAATTAGAAAGTTATTTAGCTTTTTTTTTTCAATATGATAAAATTAGACAAATTAGACAAACTAGCTATATTAGGCAGCAGATATACCTAAATTGGAAAGTTGCTGCTGTATGACAGATAAAGAGATCAAGACTGTATGTAGTCCATGGAGTAGCTGCAAAGCTGCCACCTGGCCCACAGCATTTGAAGGGTTGAACAGTTCTGCAGTGTTGATCCATTGGGTATGTGTACACCTACACTACTAATTGGTTTGGCAGCCGTTGCGCTGTAATCTGTTTTGACTCTAGGAATTTAAGTCCTACTCATTGCTGGTCCTAGATATTTATGACAAATGTTTAAAGGTAGGGCTGAAGGACCTCCTCTTGACATTGCAGATACCTGCTTATCAAAGTGCCCCTGCGTACAGCTTCCACATTTTTACCAGCTGCTTTTAGTGTACCATTTGTACAGTTAAGTACATACCAGAATATTGAAGTACAGACACGATGCAGATCTGTGTCATAAAACCCCCCTCCCAGTGCACACTAAATTACTCATAAATGGTTCATAATGTACATTCCAATCAAAAATCACATTAGGTTGTTCAGACATTCCTTCTCTCAGACTGGAGATTAGGGAAAGGCTCTTCAACAGAGGGGTGGTTGGGTACAGAACAGGCTCCCCAAGGCAGTGATCATTATCCTAAGCTGCCAGAACTTAATAATAATTTGGACAGTATTCTCAGACATAAGGTTTGAAATTTGGGTGCTTTTGTGTGGAGCCAGCAATTGGCCTTAATGATCCTTGTTGGTCCCTCCTGTCTTGGGATATTCTGTGGTTCTGTGATTCTTTGGATACAAAGACCATGCAGTGATTTGTACACTTATGCAAACTGCCCTCTTCATTAGGGGGACAGGTATTGCTATTGTATACCTTTTGCAATCTAAGTGCAGATAAACAAGAAGTTTCTGCCAGCAGAGTGTTTACATCCTCTAGAAAGCAGACTTTACATGTACTAAAGCAGCTGAGCAGACAGATGTTTGTGAGATGGAGATTGCTTGTTATTGTGAGCTCTTTGGAGAAAAATGCTATCCATGGGACTGCACAGCATTGGTGGACTGGCATAAGTAAAATAAGGTATACTAAGATGAGATGTTAAATTTTGTGTATATGTAACCTTGAAGTTCTTTCTTTCCTAGATGTGGTCGTCTAGTATATCATCTGGGTCTTCCCTATTCCTTCCTGTCTTTCCAATATGTAGAAGAAGCCATTAAGATTGCATACTGTGAAAACAAGTGTGGAAATTGCTCTTACACGGTATTTTCTTGTTTCATTCTTTATATACTGGGAAAAAAAACACTGATACTTAAGAATCTTCGTTGGCATGATTAATCAAAAAAGACAACTTTGGATGTGTGTGTTTCAGTGTGACAGAATACGGAAGCATTTTTTGAAAGTTTGTCTAATTTAGAATAGACTGACTGTTTAAATTCCTGCAAAACATTTTCTGAAATTTAAATGTAATTGTGGATGCTAATTTTGTTTGTGGAATTACATACAGTTACTGAGAATTTAGCTACTTTGGTTTTTCTTTAGTTTATGGAGAGAGGTAGGCACTTTTTTTTTTTTTTTTAATATGGAGATGAATCTGAGCTGTTTGAGTTACAGTTCCTTTTAGTTTATGTTTAGAAGCACTATACAAAAGTTACTTTAAAAATTGGTAATACAAGGGAGTGATTGTTACCGCAAAAAAAAAGAAGAGGAGCTGTATTTTACATGTAACCAGATATCAGAATACTTTCAGGATTACTATGCAATGTAGATAGGTAGTGATGAATTTCATCAAGAAGAATCATTATTTTAGCTCCCATCAAATAGCTTTCCAGCTTCCCATAGGCCTCAGGCAGATTAGATGTGGGATCCTAGAATAGGAATACTTTTTATTAGCAATTACTTTGATTATAATTCCCAAAAGTTTACATTAGGAATCCTGTGTAGTTAGCAGTGCTGTTGTAAAACAAGATTCTTTTTTATACATTTCAGTCATTTTTCAGCAAAGTAGCACTTTCAGAAACAATCACTTTTTTCTTTTTTTCTTCCTGGGATAGCTGTAAGAAGGACAGTGTAAAGCGTTTAGATGCTAAACACTCCACATGCTGTTCTCAAGGTGCAGAGCACCTATGTACCTTGTTCACTCTTCAGCCTCCAGTGCTTATGCAAATAATCACAGCCGGAATCACGTGGGCTGATGAGCTTTTTGGGCACTGAAATAGAAGTATGTGATAGAAAATATTGCTTGATTTGTATTTCACAGAATTACAGTCAGCCAGGTTAAAAAAAAAAAAAAAAAGTCATTTTAAATGGCTTTTTGGTGACTGTGAGGACTAACCAGGATAATCTTTGCTATTTTCAATTTTTTAAAAAAATTTTGTATTCCTTTTTTTTTTTTTTTTTTTTTTTAAATTAAACTTTGCCATTAAGAAACTGAGTATGCATTGCTGACTGCTTTATCTACCTTTACTGAAGAATCTTCTGAAATCCACTCATAAGCTTATCTGTGCCTCAAGAACACAACCAAGAAAAGTGGGGGTCCTGGGGGTTATGGAGGAGGGGTGGTACCTCAAAGACAAACTTTGGAAGCAGAATGTTTCTTCCCATGTTTTCTTTTATAATTGCATGACCTTTCAGAGGGTGCTGTAGATTCCCTTCCTGGAGCCAACATTTTTGGCTTTCCACTCCCTGCCAACCTCCAGGACAGAGAAATTACAGAAAGAGATTTTTGGATGGTCTTTGTCTTGACTTTTTTGGAAACTAGAACGCTAAAAACGCTTTATTATTTTCAGGACAGAAATACAGACTGTAGCTCATACTCCGCAGCACTCCATTAGTTTATCAAAAATATTTGTGAACAAGAATTTTAGATATCGTACTGCAAAAATATTTAGTTAATTAATATCTTACAAGTAGTTTAATTTAATATGATGTTTCTGTTTTGCAGGAACCTGATGTTGATTATATATGTGAAAACATCACCAAAAAAGAAGATGAGAATCTAGCAGGGATAGAACCTGAACCTGAACCAAGTGGTCAGCATTCACATCATCACCACCAAGTACACAGGCACAGACACCACCACCATCGTGAGGGTGGTCGTCATTCAAAAAATCAGAACCATCAGGCCCCTCCTGAATCTCAAAGACGTCACCCTCACAATGGTCGACATCACAGAGTTTTTAACCACAACAAACATGATCAAATAGGTAGCCATGAACAGGTAGAAACTCTTCCTCCAGGAGAAGGTGTGGAAATTCTTCCACGTGTTACAAAACTATGAAAAAAGGGGAAAACCATCTGTAAAAACCAGTTAACTTGAAACTGGCAGACAGCATCAGACTCAACAACCAGTAGCTGATGCTGTCATTGTCGACACCTTTTGTTTGAAGAGCTAGGAAATTCTGTCACTTGACAGTGTCGCGGAGCACTTCCAAATTCGTGCAGGTGACACGGCCAGCTGTTAGCAGAGGACATCACTGAATCCTGACAGTGACGTCTGCTCACTGCTGCCTGAGAGTCAGCAGCAGCAGGAGGAAGTGAAACTAGTGACACCTGACAGTGACAGGAAAAGGCAGGAAACTGAGCATGAAAAACAAACTAAACACTTAAAAAAAAAGGCAGGGGAGTCATCTGGCCTACATTTACTTAATTGCTAGATTGGAAAAGCTATCAGATTAGGTATTTCTATTGCTCCCAAATAAAAATTAGACTAAGATGACAGGAGTATAGAGCTAAAATTTTTCAAAGAGCAGTGCTCTTGGAATTAGGCAAGACCTGTCAAACTCCATCAATGAAAATTTCTTGCTATAAAGGGATTGGATTAACCCATAGTTTGTTTTTCAATTACACTGGAAAGGTGTCTGCTTGGTTGATTAATTTGTCTTTCTTGTTTCTCTTCTAATGTTCTGCTTGCATTTGTGAGGACAGGAGCATAAACTATGACCTAGGGGCTCCTGTTTGATATTTTGCAATCAAGAACAGGAGATAAGCAAAAGAGATACTTTAATTTTTATTTTTTTTTTTAATTAAGAGGGGATATATTCAAAAGTTTTTTTTCTAAAGTAGGTATACAAATTATGTACAAGCAAAACTCATTGTTAAACAGTGGACCAAAATAACATTTTATTTGAAGTGTAAGATACAACTGTAACTGCATTGTTTTAAAGTAACATCATATACTTAACTTTTGTGAGTTAAATATAGTACAAGTTTCACTGATGCACACTATTACAGTTTGTCAAATCCTACTTAATCAGTAAGTTCATGCCTGAAGTGAGAAGCAATATTTACAACTCTTTGTGCAGATTCAATGCCTCTATCAAGAAAGAGACAGGACAAGTTCAGTCTTGGTTTAATACTTTGCTTATGAGTGTATGGAATTTGTTATCTGTATTGAATAGTAAGGCAGTATACCACTGACATTTTAATAATTTCTTTGTATGTAGCTTAGCATTTTCTAATTTTGATTAACCATGTTGAAGTAAAAATTCTTTTGTTTGAAGGATGAGCAGAGTATTCAAGAAAGAAAAGCAGCTTTGAAAGCATACACCATAATTAATGATGAATGAATAGGGCAATTATTCCTATGAAAACGGAATCTTTTTGTGGTGAATGCTGATTAGCAAGAAAATAGTACTGAATATAAACAAAATGCATGCCTTTGGGATATCTGACAAGAGACTTCAATAAAAAATATTCAGCGTCTCTTTGTATTTTGTTTTTACTTTTAAGTGCACAGTTCGAAACACACTGTTTCTTGTATGTTCTACTGAAATGCTTCATGCTATTTACTCAAAACCGCCTCCGTTTCAAGTGCAAATCTTGGCCTTTATTAAGACGTTGCTCTAAGTCTCTTATGGTGTTTCGGAGGATCTCAATTTCCTTGTTTTTCTCCTCCTGCAGGTGCTGTAGTTTCTGTAAAAATGCAAGTAAAGGTTTTGTTCATAATTATCGGGAGGGATTATGCATCAATACAATATGCTATTGCTAACAAGCAGTATTTTAATAAGAATTTTTTTTCTTGGTATCTTTTATCACAATGTTAAAAGAAATAATATCCCCTCAATCCTTTTCCTGTGACATTATGAAGTCCTTAGTCCACAAAGCTACTAATACATGCAAAATTTGTCATTAGTGTTATTTCTATCTCAGATTTCAAAGTCAACAATTCTGTACTAAAACCCCTTCACCTGTGGTCTTGTCAAAGATGTTTCATGTCAAAGGTGTTAAACATTATCAGTACCAACTGCAAAAAGACATGGAATAGGTAATCTAGAGGTGGGAAGTGTTGAAGGGACACAATGACTAGATCCTGTAGGTTACAGAACTTCTTTTCCCAAATAAAGTTTTCTTGCAAATGAAACACAGTAACAGCCAAAAAAAAAAAAAAAACCAAAAAAAAAAACAACCCTGCTGTTTAGCATGGGCTGTAATAATGCTTAAGTATTTGCAGATTATGAGTTATTGGAACACATACCCTTCGATAGATACTTTGTGGCAAAACAGAAGCATCTGAATATGATTTTGTTGTTTTGTTCTGAACTCTTGCCAATTTAGTGTTGAACTGAAAGAAACAGGGAAGAGAAAATATTGACAATCCAATAAGAGGGGAAAAAAAGTATGTTAAAAAATACAAGCAGAAGTTTCTTTTTTTCTTTTCTTCAATGAATGTTGTATCTGAAAGTTGTTGCAAGATTATCTAGTGTTTAGTCCTAGGACAATGAAGTTTATGAGAAATCAAGATAATTACAGATTATATTTCTAAATAATGCTTCAAAATATTACAAAAAGAAAATAGTACAAATATTCTGATCCCAAGACATTACACGTAAATATTTCTGAATTACTAGATAAAAAGAACACTATGAAAATGAAAAGTTGAAAGTACTTTGACAGCACAGTCTCATGTATGCAGGAAGAGAAATGGAAAGGATGCTAAAAGCATCTTAAATTTTCCCTCACATACTACACATATCTCAGCCCAAACACCGTGTTTCTGTTAAGAAATAGCTTATTTCTTATTGAGTATGTGAAAGATTTGAACTATTTCCTTCACTTTTCTGTAGTGAGGACTGAGCTATGAAATGTGTGTTGAATTCCATGTCTGAAACCTCTCAGAAGTTTATAGAAAGGTAATACTAAAAAATAGAGATCTTCAACTACCCAGAAACAATTATAAAAGAATAAAAATAAATAGAAAACATTGTTTTAGTTTCTTTGTAGGTAAAAAATTACCAACGCTTTCAAAATAAATTAAAGGAAGAAGACTACAAAGCTCAGCCTCCATATACAGTAGGTAGAAGAGTAGATTTCTGAGCAGAAGCTACTTAGATCCCATAGTGAAAAAGAGAGCAATGCCACTGACCCTTCTAAAGATCACTTTTTAATATGCTTAGGTTCCACCACATTGTTATGCATTAATTACAGCATTTTTCACTAGTCTTCTAAGTTTCCTCAATGCCTAATTGATCTTTAATTCAACAGAACCCATACCTCTATCTGCAGTTTAATTATTTCATTCTGCTTCTCTTCATCTTGAGTTTTCAGCTGTCTAGCTAGCTCTAATATTTCCAGTTCCTTTTTCTGTATCTGTTCCTTATACTCCATCTCTTTTTCTTCAGCTAATAACAAAGTAACACCGAATATATTGATTAAATTAATTACATAATATGGTTAAATGGAAAAACAAAATAAAAACAGAGCATTTCCCAAATAGCAGAGCTTTCTTCAGCAACAGGTTGGAACAATTTCTGTCAAACAACAACAACAAAAATCTATCTGTCTATCTATCTATCTGGAACCATTGTGAGATTGAGTTTCATTAAAGCAGCATCACGTTTTACAGAGACTTCATTTTGCTTTTTTACAGCTATGTGAATAACTAAAAAAATCCTACTTAAACCTCTGTCAGTAATGAAAAGTAATCAATGCTATAAGCAGGTGTTTCCTTTTGCAGCATTATTTATTTGCAGAAAGTCCTGCTCTTCTCAGGTATAGCTGAAACACCATCCTAGGAGCCTACCTAATTCAATTTTCAGCAAGTTCAAAGCAACTCTCCAGTTAGTATTTAACCCAAAATTTAACTCCTTCAGATTTTTATGTATGAGTTCCCAGTGTTTGTTATACTTGATTTGGAACTTCTGCTCATCCAGTGTTGCTGTAATAATACCTCACTAGCATTGTCTATTCAGTTAAGATAAAATTCATTTTGACAATATCCACTTCTAGCTTTCATGTTTCATGTTCAGTACTACACCTGGACTCTAAGTAAAACTATTTTCCAGTCATGTTTCCATGAGGAAGTTGAACTATTTTTTGCATTTATGCTAATAAAGTACAGCTCTTACAGGCTATGACATGGTTTATCCAGCTGTATAGCATTCAGGCTTCAGAAAACTTACTTTTTTTTCTCATGTTGCAGTTCAACTGTGCTATTTCTAATTTGTGGTCTTCCTCTTTGTTTTGAATTTCAATTGTGAGTTTCTCAATCTGATCGTTATATTCCTGTGAACATATAAATTCTTCATAAAAATCTTCTGGTTTCTGTACTTAGAAAGCCTTCTGCAAAGCACATTGCTCATGTCAAAGTATACTGAATAATTCAATTATTTGTAGTTCTGTAATTCTGTATTTGTTTTAAGTTGCACCTGTTCAATACTAAAATGTCCAGCTACATCTCACTGAATCCAATGAAAATCTACAGATAAATGATGCAGCAGATTTCATCTGTCTTAAAATAAAATTATAAACTGCTTGTATTAGGAGAAGGGGCAAATGAAGAGGTAGTATTCTTTTCCTCAGTGCAGGATTTGGTATGATTCTGCAATAGGTTAAATAACTACAGTTTTACTTGTATAAATTTCTGGTTGTAGAATTGTGCAAGAAGTTGTATTTAAAGTATCTCAGATTGCTAATATTGCTTATACCAAGGATTTCACAACTTTACACTGGCAGCAGTGGAAACATCAGTGGTATTAATACTAGTGGCCCTGACACTCAAGTTAGTAGTTTGAGCATACTTATTTTAAATTTAAATTAAATTTCAATGAGAAATACTCCGGAACTATCAAGTAATTTGCTGTAACTGCCAGTGCAGAGGTGCTTACTCCAAAGATCTCATCAGAACCTTCTGTTGTAGATAGACATGAACTATAGCAATGCTCAGAGGCATTACAAAGGCAGTTACTATCTGGTGGTAAGAGCACGTACAGAATAATCAACTAAGTGCCTTCAGAACATCACTAGAAAGATTCAGTATATGTATACATGCTTACACACACGCGCGCACACACACATATATGAAACATATATACATCTTACTTATTCTTAAACTGTCAAGATATCAGTTCTATTATCATTAAAGTTGACTCTTTGGTACTATAAAAATAGGCAAAGAAAATTGACAGTTAAATTCCTAATCCTATATAGGTAGCAGATATGCAGTCTAAGCACAGAGAGCTGACATAACTTGTGGCCAGTGCTGTTGATGTTACCTCCTTTCCAAGAATAAGATGATAGATAAAAAGTACAGGGACAGCAATGGAATTTATTTTGAGATACATGGACCTATCCTCTTTACAGCATTTACTCCTAAAGAAACTAAAGAGGTAATTCAGATGGTATTTGATTTCCTGGCAGTAGAGTTGGTATCTTGACTACAAAAAAATTAAGTGTAAGAAGTAGATTTTGAAACTAAATATTGTTAAAAAATGAGCATACCTCAGGTTGAGCCAGAGTTCTCAGCATGGTATAGTTTTGACCTTTTTGTTCTTGGTAAACTCTCTCATACTGTCATTAGAACAACTTTTCTCTTTTTACACAGGATGAACTTTAGGAAAAGTGAAATAGTAATGTGATAGGCAGCAAACTCAAGAATAAAAAGGTATAAGAACAGCAGCATGAGACATGAGATAGAGACATGACTGTTATTATTTCTCCTATTAAAGAATGATCATTCTGACAAACCTGTTCAGAAGACTTCAATTTGTTTTCCAAGACATGAATATTTGTCTTCAGTCTGTCATTTTCATCTAAACAATAAAAGAAAAGAACAATACACTAAAAGGTAAATGTTGACACAGGGAAGCATGAAAAAAAATTATTTACACTTTTTTTTAAATTGCCTGGACTCTAAAGAGACCTGACATTTTCTAGATGTGATAATCTTAACTTGCAGAGATACATAATGTCTATACAGTTTCTTTGAAGAAGAAAATTCATTGCATAGTTGTAATATATACTGAACTTCTTTAAGCAATCTTTAGCAATTGTTTACCACTGTGTTCAAGAATAGATACAAAGTTAACTTGCTCAGAAAATGAAAGATTATTATCATATCAATAATTACTTTCAAATTAGGAGATGTAACTTTTTAAGTACTTGTTTCTCAAAACCAGAGCTTACTCAATTTGTGTGAGCTCCTTTACAGCTTGCTTATGGTGGTAGCAAATATACAAATTGAAAAGCAGTATCTCAAAAAGAGAATTTAGGAAAAGCAGATAATGCTTTCTTGATTAGCAAAATTCATTCTGATTATTAAAAACAGCTGTCTACTTCCAATTTTTAGAGTTTTATTAACTCTTATGCTAAGGTACCTTGAATACAGAACGGGTATATATAATTAAATATAATAACTAGACAGCAGTATAAAAATACATTGTTATATGATATGTATAAAAATTAAGTACTTTTACTTTTTAATTAAAATAAAAATGAGCAGTTATCAAGAATTTGTGGATAACAGCCAAATTTCAGCCTCCTTGAGATGAGGATTAAGACTCTGATTTTATGAAGCACTTTATCAAAGACTGTGCATAAGTGCTTTAAGAGAATACAGTTCAGTGGTTGAGTAATACTTTTCCACTTTTTCTTAAGTTTCCTTTGCTATGCTGAAATAGATTTTAAATCTAACTATTAACTAAAAATCTTGCTAGGACAGGAATTCCTTTATGAGTGGATTCTAGCAGAATAATATTAACAGACATTTACGAAGAATATAGACCACCAAAATCTGCGCAGGATTGATTTTAGATATACTTTGTTTTATTTCTGTCTGGATGCTAGTGAACTTCTCTCTAAAAAACACAGTGAACAGAAAGAAAAAATTAAAAACCCTGTTCATACAATATTACTGTACTGTACATATAAGAACGGTTTTCTTTTACCTTCTATGTTACACTGGTTTTCAAGAGTTTGTGTAAGACCCTTTATCACATTCCGTAGAGCAGTACATTCTAGAAGTGAAAAATCCACTGTTTGAAAATATTTTCTTCACCACTTTAATTTAATATGGCAATTAAAAAAAATAATGAACATCAAATTTAAACATATTTTTATAACATAATAAAAATGTCAGAAAATAATATACATATCTTCGTAATAGAATTGCAAGCATAATTCTTCTTTATGATCTTTCAAAAATATTCAACTTGTTTTTTTGGGGTAGTGGGAAAAATATAATGCTTTGCTTACTGTAAAGGTGATTGATAGTCTTTAAGAATGGCAATCTCTTTCTCCCTGGGAGTTAACCTTATTTAATTCATCACACAACTTCAGAAAAGGACATCTTTTGCAAGAAAGAGTTACTGACCATATATATCTAAACCTCACTTGCACAGTATAAATGAGCCTAAAGATTCACAGCCTTCTAACAGTAGACTACAAGAATTCTGAAAAAGTAAAGAATCTACACACTGTTTTGTTCTTAGGTTGGGCTTTTTGGTAACAACTACCTAAATTACCTCATATTTGAGATTTTAATTAGTTACTGATGTTATTATACTATGTCTCTGCTTTTCTAGGTGGATTTCAACATAAACAATATCATGGAAGAGGAAAGCCTGCTGTAGGTAGCTAAGCAAACATTTGGTATAAATATAAGAATTACAGTTTATTTTGGAAAAATCAGTGAACGCTTCATAGGAGAGGAGTTCAAAAAGTGATTGCAAGCCTTAAGTCATTGGATTCAACTATCAGTTTCCAGAGAGGGGAGCAAGCACTGTGATAATCTCCATTAAATTCTGTAATCTATAGAGGAAAGAAGAGAGGACTGAAGAATTTTGCTTTACAGTACTATCAGCAAATAAATATTTTAATAAAGGAAGCTTAAAAGCCAAAAGAATTACTTTTCTATATTAAATTAATATTTTCTGCTGCAAGGTTTTACCTTCAAACTTGCTGAGAATATCTGTCCTGAAGATCTAAATGTTCTTTTACTAAATTTTTAATAAATATTATTAAATGTTTTCTTAGTATAGCTAGATAAACATTATTTGGATGGCTTGCAGAATCTGGCTAAATACTAATTTCAAGGCTGCTAAATATGTAAGCTTTACACAGAATAAGGATTATATATTGCCATAAAGTAGAGCAAGGCATGCAAACTAAAAGTAAACATACTTAAGAATAAGCTTATAGTAGTTGAATTGCATATCCAAGGGTAATAGAATGAACATGAAGAAAAAAATCCATTTCATGTGGCTGTGAAAAATGGTTCTTTCTTAAAAATGTCATTTTCATTTGTTTTCATATGTTTGCCACTACTAGTCCCTTTATTACATGAATGACCATTATTGCAAAAATACTTGTACTTCATTACAGGTACTTTTAAGCTGTTAATGGAAGAAATCTACTTTTTATCAAATATTTGTTTGCCCTCCACTCTGAAAATGTGGCAATTTCAAATTCAGTCAAATGGTCGACTTCAGAAAATCCTAGTTTGTATGTGCTCCCTGGAGACCTTTTACTACTCGCTGCTAAGATTTCAAGACTCAGATAAATAGCCCCAAAACTGAAAAAGTCTTCTACCACTGTATCAGGAGCTAACTGCTGCTTTGTAATAACAGCTGATGTCAATCTCTTCATCCGGTAGCTATGGTGGTAATTAGAGGTGATTTAGTATTATGAAGAAAAAGCCTGAGACTGGGAAAGCAGATGTGGAAGAAATCGAGATGTAGATGGAAGAGGCAAAACACAGCAGAACTAGGCACTACTTTTGAGGTAGGTGACAGAACTGTGAGTCATGCAGCAGTCAACAATGAAGAGAAATGCCAGATGCCAACTGAAAAGGGACAGAGGTGGTAAGATGGCAATCGCACTGTGCAACAAAGAAAGGTGGATAAACAGGAAACTCAAGGTAAGCTGAAGGCAGGACATAAGAAACCATGCTTTAAGAATACTGTGAGTTCAACCATTCAAGTCAAACTTTCTTAATTCTATCGTATTTGAATTATAATTCTCGTTATCATAACTGGTCTTGAATACATGTAGGCATACAGCTTCTCCCCAGAACAAGAAGGTGAAGAGAACAAGGAATGGTATCATGATTTGGAAATAAAACACCACTGTGATCTTGTTAGTTATAGAAAGTGAGAATTTTACTTTGAATGAGATAAGATGTTTCTAATCACTAGATTCTAATACTAAAGCTGTTTGTGGCACTGTTATCTAGTTAAGTCAATGGTGAGCAGCTTATTATGCCTGCAGGCCTCTTTCCAGGTCAGGAGACAGCTTTAGTATGCCACTGTTTTTTTTCTATGTCACAGGACATACTGCAAAACAGCGTGCACATCCATGAGAGCACAACTCTGCATGCATGTAGAAAGAAGATGTGCTCCTCATTTTACAGATACCCACTCTGAGATTCAAGGTTCCAGGTATTGAAAATGTGTATCTACATATAAATGAAAATTATTTGTATAACTGTAAATAAGTAAACAAAAAAATGAAATGGGTATGGTACCTCGACAGA